TGTTGAAGAGGGTTTTTTTTTGTTGTTGTTAAATAGAGCTGAATTGGCCATTTAAATCCGAGCAAGTGCCCTCCACTCTGGAAGCTGGCACACAGGCGCAGAAAAATACCTTGAATAAGAAGCCCGCATTTATTCACGTGTTAATAATAGGTGTCCTCGTTTTAACTTCTGCTGTAGAGGCAGGCTGAACCAGGCAACTTCTCAGCGGTGCCCTAATGTATTTATTTGGAGCGTCCGCCCAAAGAAACCTCGGTTACTTCCCCTTCTGCCTTGCTCCGGGATGCTTTTGAAGGATCCTGAATGCATGCATTTTAAAGGCCTATTGGAGCATTGTCTTTTTTTTTTAAGAACTCTCTTCCCTTATTATTTGGGGGCTGCTTTGTTTTGGGATCCTAGGTCTAGCACTGCCCGGTCCCACTTCAGGCGACAGCCCCCCTCTTATAGCCTTGCATCTCCCCGCTTGAACCTCCAGCCACGACTGGCCTTCTGACCCTTTCTTTCCTGTCTGTCATGCAGTACGACGATATACCCCATTACGGTGGGATGGATGGAGTAGGGATCCCCACCACCATGTATGGGGATCCTCATGCCGCGAGGTCAATGCAGCCTGTTCACCATCTGAATCACGGGCCTCCGCTGCACTCTCATCAATACCCGCACACAGCTCACACCAACGCCATGCCCCCCAGCATGGGCTCCTCTGTCAATGACGCTTTAAAGAGAGATAAAGATGCCATTTATGGGTAGGTACAGCTGGCATCAGGTTTATTAGTCGAGATGTGATTATTCCCTTCTTTCCCTAGCTGATGAAGGCAGAGTAAAGCCATTGAACCTCAGACAGTAGGTAAATGCTTGAGATCCATGATAATTGCATGCAAATTTTAGGGGGGGGGGTTTCCCTCCCCCTCCCTCTTTGCCTCGCTTTACTCTGGACGAGAAAATGTTCCATAAAGAAGATTTACTTTCCAAAGAGCTCGGACTGTGTACGAAGTTTCCCAGAAGTATGGCTCAAGTTAAAATATGATAACTTGCCTTATTTGTGTGTGTGTGAGAGAGAGAGAGAGAGAGAGGGAGAGAGACTGTGCGTGTATGCTCTCCCTTGTATGGAAAGCAACTTAGTTTCCTAAATGTAGTCTCCTTTGTGGGCTCGATCACAACTTTTAAACAGAAAAGCTCGCCAAGCTTCGAGCTGAAAGAAAATCGGTCATTAACGCTGGGATCCAAAAAGGGGGGGGGGGAGATTTCCATGGTGCAATCTGTTTTGGGAAGTAAATCTTTGCAAAGAGTTTAGAAGTAGAGATACTTTGAATTGCTCCCCGCTGAACCAAACTTTTAGCTTTATTAATATATAATGCGCTGTGGAGGAGCACATGTACGGGTTGTTTCTTTGCGCGGTGTCCTGTTAATTGTTTTCCTAACAGCCTTTGGTACATCTCGGTGCCACGACTTAGAAAATAGTTTCTAGGCCATTGCAATGGGGCTTGATCTGGCGGGCTGATCAGGAGATGCCTTTAAATTTAATTTGCCGCGAATTAAGTTGAAGTCAACTTTCAGATGCCCTTTAAAATCTTGCTGGAAGGAGTTGGTTTTGTAGCAGAACCAGCCTCTCATCCTGTTTCTTTATCTGCTTATCACCAATCTGCAGGATTTGCTTAAACCCCTTTGTTCACAAGCCTCTCGAATAGGTATGAAACTCGGGGGGTGGGAGGGGGGAGAGGGAAAGTGAGCCCATGTTGTTAGAAAGACCCTGAAAATTAGGGAAGGATCCGTGGAGCTCTTTAAGGAATTACTTAGAATTTCTCCCTGGGAGTTACTGAAGCTGGAGAGAAAAATCAGAGCACCTGGTAAATATATTGCCAGGTTCGATGCATTTAATGTTAAATATTAAAGGCATCTCCTGATCAGCCCAATTTGTGCAATAATCTGTGGGGAAGAAAAAGAAAAGACGGGTGGGCAGCGGCTGTTAGGAGTAAGTGTGTTTCTGTGTGTGTGTAGGGGTGGGGGCGGAGAAGGCTGCCCCATCTCCAGGCGTGCTCAGGCGACTGAAGTTGGCTCATGTGGGGCGCTGGAGCACTTTGTGCTGCCCGGATGGGGGCAACTCATTAGCAGCTTAGCTGGCCTTCCAAGTTAGCAGCTCCCAGCTTGAACACTACCGAAGCAAAGGGGGATTTACACGTTCCGCATCCGACTCCAGAGAGCCGGGTGTCCCCCCACCCCCAACTCCTCATTCTCTCCCCGAGGAAATCTTTCTTTCGCAGGGGAGTTTAAACCAACTAATCATAATCATAATCCAAAAGTCATCATCCCACGAAATTAAAATAAAAACCAAGAGGAGAGGAAAGTTCATTCAAAATGGCTGCTGGAACCGCTTTGGTTTTATTCTTAGCAAATGTTAACAATTTCTCTGGCCAGATATGCTGAAGCGATCATCAGCCACAGTCCCATGGCTCAGGGCCTTCGACTTCAGGGCTCTCGGTTGCAGGGTAGGTGAGCGCTGCTGGGGGGTGGGGGTGCAGCCGGGGTGGAGGTGCTGGGCTCCGCTGAGAGATCACCTTGGTTGATGCCCTGCCCGCACTGCTCCGGGACTAACCATTGTTTTGTCTGTGACTATTGTATTTTCTTTCAGACACCCCCTGTTCCCTCTTTTAGCACTGATTTTTGAGAAATGTGAATTAGCTACATGCACTCCCCGGGAGCCCGGGGTAGCGGGAGGCGATGTCTGCTCCTCAGAGTCTTTCAACGAAGACATAGCAGTGTTCGCCAAACAGGTCAGCACCGATCCATCTCGGGGAGGAAAAATAAGTGGAAGGCAAAAGAAAATGCCTAGCAAGGGGACAAGTCTCCGTTGACAAGCGAGGCAGGCTGCTAAAGTGGCCAAATAGCTCCGTGGTGTCATCCCAGTCAATTCGTTAACATCTCTGCTATGTGTTTCTTTTTCTTTCTTTTTTTTTCTTTTTTCTTTTTAACTTTGACTGTGGATCCGAGCTAGCTTACACATAACTGCTAAGATCTGGCCGGGTGTTTTTTTTCCCCCGATGTATTTGATTCACTTGTTTTAAGTGTTTCTATGATGTACTAAATCTAGCAGTCAGAGCTTTGCACGAAAGGTTACATAATGGACCCGACAGTGTAATGAAGCAAGAAATAATAACGTCTGCTTTTTTCTGCTTCCATATTTCAAATCCTTTTTTTCCTCCCTCCCCTTTCTCATATTTAGATCCGAGCAGAGAAACCCCTCTTTTCCTCTAATCCTGAACTGGATAACTTGGTAAGAGTTCACAACGCTCCCTTTTTTTCTTTTTCTTTTAAATTATTCCTGGGTCTTTTGAGAGGTGGCTCGAAGCCTTGACAAGCGTTTGGGGTCTAAATCGAGCATTTCTCACGTGGATCTTTCTTGCTTGCTTTCTTAATTACAAGTAATACAGTGTAGCAGTTCTGTTTAAGTAAAATCACATAACGAGGTCCATAAAGAAAGCACCATCCCAAACGAGAGTTTGGGGTATTTATGGCAGTCTTTCCTGCCTAAGCAGAGCGTGGATTTATCTGCGACTACACCAGTGTATCTGAGGTCTTTTAAACAGCTTTATGGGAAATGTAAACGAAGGCTGTGGATGGAGATGCACCGTTTAAGTACCTGACTACAAATACAGTCTTCCCCCCACCCCTTAAGGATAAACAAATACTTTGCCTTCTCTTCGTAATATTTTTTTTTTGTCCTGCTTTGCTGAACGAGGGGCCAACGATGTAGATTGCATTTTTAAGGAATTTTTTTATGATCCGTATAATTTAGTTGCTTCATTGCAATAGGGTTTTTTTTTTTAACTCTAGATGACTTCTTGTTAAACAGCGTACAAAGCCACTGCTATTAAGTTTTAGTGGTATTGCCATAAATCAAAACAACTTTTTAGTTACTACTTTAAAAAGTCAAAGTTATAGACTACAGCAGGGGCGGCTGGGGGATATGTGCAGAAATGCAGGAATGAGATAGATACTCCTCTTGTTTGTATCTTTGCAGATGATTCAAGCCATACAAGTATTAAGGTTTCATCTGTTGGAATTAGAGAAGGTAATTTTTTCCCCCTCTCCTCCTCATACGTTTCGGTATTGCTGAAGTTCAGGCTTCTGGTAAATTTGCATAAATGTCTTTCTTTCTGGTAATTAGTGTCAAGACCAATCTTGGCGTCCATTTCTCTTCGCAGTTTAATTACAATTTCAGCCTCTAAAACCAGGCTCACAAACGCCCCGACATTGTAATACTTTGTTACAAAGTTCATTGTAATATTTTGCTGGCTGTGGATAAAGAATTGCAGTCTTGTGCGTGCCGCAAATGATATTCTGAATGATGTTTGTTTGTTATTTCAGCCCAGGCCCTGAGATTTTTTTTTAATCTTTTTTTTTTTTCCTTTAGTGGGGGGCGGGGGTGAAGGTACTTTGTTTGGTTTCAGTTAGTTTGGTCGGGATTTTTTTTTAAAGAGCCATCTGCAGGTCAGAGGCAGGGCACAGATTATCCTGTAACATTTTGCTGAGACAAAGCAGAGTTGATAGTTGTGTCAGTTTCTTGTTTCTGTGCATATTGTACACCTCCAAGCGGAAGAAAGAGGATGCAGCCCCCGTGCAGTCTTTTTTTTTTTTTTTTTTTTTTTTTTTTTTTTTTTTGCTTGCTCTTCTAAAAATCTCAGCAGCAATAATAATAATAATTCAATGTAATTCAAACGAACGTTTCACTGGAAGCCACACTTAGGTTGCCTGTGGATTTAAAAAATGTAATTGATAGCTGGCCAGCCAGAGAATTCACTTTCTCCTAAAAATAAACATTTTGAGAGGTTTTAAAAGAGTTGAAAAGTTTCTTTAGAACCTCAGCCACTTTGTCGAGCCGTAAGAGGCAGGTTGTTCTCGCTGGACGTGAAATGTGTTAAAATATACCCATTAATAGTGGAAGCTCAAGTACAAGTATATTACAGTGACTCGGGATTTAAGGTCATGGATGCCTACAATGCATTTCAGCCGTGCATCCGCTTTAAAAAACAACAACAAAAAACCTTTTCTCTCTTCATACCCCTTTGGAAAGGGTTTATGATGAAATAACTGGATGAAATTAAATAGTTTACCTTAAATGTCACCCATACAGGTCACTTCTCTAATGGCCACAGCTCCGGGAGCAGATGAATTTAACACGGGTGTTGAATATGTTGTAGCCTGTGAATCATCTTGTCACTGTCAATTTTCTGGGATATCTCTATTTTGCGAGAAAAGAAAGTTATTCCTAATTCTGGATGCGTCTAGAGGTCTCCGGGGGATAATTGCAGTGTGTTTCCCCTATTTAGAACTTTTGATGTCACAAGGGGTTGGGGGGCTGGTTGATTGCACTTGTCAATTTCACTTATGTACTCCTGATTATATTTTCATTTTTTCTTACTTTTGTCATAATGTAGGTACACGAATTATGTGACAATTTCTGCCACCGGTATATTAGCTGTTTGAAAGGAAAAATGCCTATCGATTTGGTGATAGACGATAGAGAAGGCGGATCAAAATCAGACAGTGAAGACATAACAAGATCAGCAAATCTAACAGATCAGGTATGATCTCTCCAGGATTGCTCACGCTCAAATTTGTATGCAGATCGCTTGCTGGGTCACTACGCCTCCTTTTATTATTTGCATATGATTAAGTCCCTTTTAGATAAATTTCCATCGAAATGAAAATTTTTGAATAATGTGGCTATTATTGCTTCATTAAGGCTTGCTCCCGGATTCGACCTGGCGAGATGAGCTTGTAAAAGCATTGCCTGCAAACTTGACCTGTTTCTTGTCGCTTTTAATTTTTGTCTTTATTTTATTTACCCTTTATCATAATAGAAGCGTTAGCCGCGAATCGGTGGCTTCTGGTTGCTTAGAAAGGGCTGGCTGGAGCCATTTACAAAAATAATAATAAAATCCGAGATAGGTGGTCCAGGGAAGACAGAGAGGGTTTGAAATCTAGCAAATACTGGCTATTTTCTTCCTGTCTCTACGGTTCATTAGTCTGTCTTGTCAGTTTTCCTTGGCCGAACGCTTTTAGACCTCAGTGAACATTGCTTTGTGCACAGGCCGCCTGCTGCAAGCGCGCCCATTTTATTTTCCTTAATAGAAAAATAAAACGAGACCAAGGTTTTAATTTATTTTCATTGATCTGGGAAGTTTTCAAACCGTCTCTTCAAAAATGCTGCTTTAGTGCCTTGTAGCATGTCTGTGTTAGAGAGGGGAGAGAGCCCCATGCTTGCCTGCTACACCCAGGGCCAGCTGGAGTGATGACTTTGCAAGCTTCCCCCACCCCCTTCCCTGGCTGATATTGTGATTTTTTTTTTAATGGGAAGGTTTTGGGTTAATTCAAGAGGTTACCAAAGCTAGAGTAGGCTGCTGGAATATTTAGGCGCTTGGGAATCCTTAGGTTGAACTGTGTAATGCTTTAAGTGTGTGTGTGTGTGTGTGTGTGTGTGTGTGTGTGTGTGTGTGCGCTGGGGGCGGGGGTCCTTTTCTTTTCTTTTCTTTTTCCTTTGGTAGTGTTTGGCCGTGAAAACCCCCCACAACTAAGAGCTGAAGTTATTTCTTCTATATGATCTGGTTCGTAAATACAGTCTTAAGAGTAATCAGGCTGACTCTGGAGGCTTCCTTTTGTTAAAGCAAAGCGCAGTCAAGCAGACAGGAGTTTCCTTAGCTGCTTTGCCATTATCAAGAACAGTGTCAACCAGGAGTTATTTCATAGATTACTTACCTAAAGGTGCACTGCACTGCACTTCAGCTTCGGTATTACCCTAAATATTTTCCCCCTATGTACGGAAGACGCAAAGGCAGCCTGTTATTTATATCCTAGTGAAGGAGCAGGGTTTAACTTAAGGCATGAACCTTCAAGAAACCCAGAGATTTGGGATTTAAAAAAAAAATTAAGCTGGGAATGCAATAGCTCAATTATAATATGTTACATGGAATCGCCTGCCTTTGAAAAAAAAAAAAGACCCAGCCATAAATTATCAGAGAAAGGAACTTCATGAAAGTTATTAAGAACTAGGACA